TTAAGCCACCGCCTGTGACGCCAGCATCCGAGCGTTACTTTGAGTCTTGGCTGCCCCAGTTGCGATCCGGATCCTTGTTAATGCACCTGGAAAGACAGTGGATTATGGCCCAAGAACCTGAGCCCTGACCTCCCATGAGGGAGACCTGGATGGAGTTCCTGGCTCCTGGGTTTGGCCTGGCCCAGGCCTGGCCATTAAGGCCATTTGGGAAACAAACTAGTGGGTATAAGATCTCTTTCTCTCTCCCTGTCTTCTCCCTCTCTCTCTGTCTTTCAAATAAATAAACAAATATTAACAAGAAAGCAAAAGACACAGAGTAGTATTGTGGGAAATAAAAGTATCATTAAGTGTTAGAGAGAGAAAGTTTTTTGGCCAAAAATTATCCATGAAAGAAAAGTTTGATAAAGTTGAAAATTAAGATGTAACAAATGTCACATCAAAACATGACAACAAAGGACTCAAAGTCAAGTTCAAGAGAAACAGTAGAAGAAAATATACTTTTATTTACTTAAATTATGGTACTTCTGTAGGCAAAACTGCTATATGCCTATTCCAAAATGTTAAACTGACTCTATGTGTACTGGCTTGAGAAATGTTCAATTATATTGATAAATAGGAAAAGTAAACTGAATAATTGTATGTTGAATTATATAAAAAGTTATATATTTACAGAAATAGTTATATGTATATTAATACCTTAAAGACTACTAAATAATTTTTTAAAGATTTATTTGCTTGAAAGGCAGAGTTAGAGAGAGGTGGGGAGAGAGACAGAGAGAGAGAGAGAGAGAGAGAGAGAGAGGATTTTCCATCTGCTGGTTCTCTCCCCACATGGCCAAAAAAGGCTAGGGCTGGGCCAGGCCCAAGTGAGGATCCAGGAGCTTCTAGGTCTCCCACATGGGTGCAGGGGCCCAAGCACTTGGGTCATCTACTGCTTTCCCAGGCCATCAGCAAGGAGCTGGATCAGAAGTAGAGCAACCAGGACATGAACCGGCACCCATTAGGAATGCCAGTGAGCAGGCAGCAGCTTAAACAGACCACAACACAGGCTCTCACACTCTGCTTTTATAACCAACCCTCTCAGCACAGTTAACTCCCAGGGCACATGCCCAGTAATCTAAATACCTCGCACCAGACCCCTCCTAAATACCATAATTGTTTCAAACCTCTACCCTCAATCCATCCACCATTAGCATTAATCCAGTAACCACCAGCAAGACTTTGGGGTTTAAACATTTGCATGAGTTTCTGGGAGCCAAATCCTGTTCAAACCATAATAACCATTAAAAAAAAAAAAAAAAAAGATGTGAGTCTGTCGGTTATGCCACACATGTCGCCATAGATACAGGGGCCATGGTAGGAAGCAACCCTGGTGTAGAGGGCACTGGCTAAGTTTTGGACTCAGGTGTATGAAGATGACGGCTCTGCTCAGTGTGTTCCAAGGACTTGGCACACCATCATCTCTGTTTCATAGTTACAGATGGCGCCAGAGCCTTCAAGGCCGGTTACAGCCAGGCAGGGCGGCTGTGAAGATAAGGGGAGTTAGTGTTGGGAAACAGGAGCCCGGGGGAGCTGCTCAGAAAACACTCCTGCCCCTTCCTGCCGCCGTCTCCCCCACCCAGGAGGCAGGTGCTGCGGAGCCTCTGTAGACGCTGGGCACCTGCCGTGTTCCTGAGTTCTGGGGTCGATGCTTCCAGGAACAGTGCAGGGTCACTGGGGATGGGGGCCATCCCCTCTCTGCAGCCCATGGTAGCAGCACACATGGAAGCTCTGTGCCTCAGTTTCTCACCTGTCAAGAACCTCCCTGGACATGCTTGTGGTTGTCTAAAGGCACCGGTGACAACCGATGGTGGCAGGCTCTGAGTTAACCATGTTGCAGGCTCCCCTCCTGGGGTCTTCCCTGGCTGCCTGTTGTCTTCATTCTGCCTCCTCCAGGACTGCCCCCCCTCTGGGGCTGGGCCTGTCATTTTTTTTTAAAGATTTATTTTATTTATTTGAAAGATACAATTACACAGAGAGAGGTAGATCCAGAGAGAAAGAGAGAGGTCTTCCATCCTCTGGTTAACTCCCCAGATGACTGAAACGGCCAGAGCTGGGCTGATCCGAAGCCAGGAGCCAGGAGTTTCTTTCGGGTCTCCCACATGGGTTCAGGAGCCCAAGCACTTGGGCCATCTTCTACTGCTTTCCCAGGCCATAGCAGAGAGCTGGATAGGAAGAGGAGCAGCTGGGACTTGAACCAGTGCCCATATGGGATGTCTGTGCTGCAGGCTGGGGCTTTAACTGGCTGGCCCCAGGCCCATCTTTGACCTCAGAAAGTGGTTGTCCAAGGCCCTGGGAAGGAGACTGTCCCTCCCAGTTCATGCAGGACTGAGGCTGGGAGCCAGAAAGAAGGCTCGGAATCTCCGGATGGGATGTGTGGAGAGAGAAATGTCAAGCCCCTTCGTGACCTGTCACCAGAATGCTAATTAGCTGAAACGCAGGGGTTGCGACTTGTTTGTTGACTGCAGAGTTCTTGGTTATCATTGTGCTCTTTACACAAGCTGATATTTTAAACATAAGGTTACATCGTGTGTGTCTACTCAGTGTGAACAACAGCAGCTGATGTTGGCATTCCTAGGACCCAGGCAGAAGGGAAGGGACGAGGGCCGGGCAGGTGCAGGTCTCCCCTGAGCACCCAGGAGGCCGGGAGGCGTGGGGCTGGCGTCTGAGGGGCGCTCATGATGGGGGTGGGTCTCCTTTTAGTTGAAGACGTGTCTTTCACTTCCAGGGGGTTTTTCTGTTGCTGTGCAGCCCCTTCTAGGCGTTGGTGGAGTCGAGTTGTGTTTTGGTTCCCTCTTGCTTCTCCTGGGTTGTTACAGGTGCACGATGCCTCTTGTGGATCGCTCAGCGGCGCTGCTCCGAGGGCTCCAGTGCAGAAATGTGAAGACACGACGTGAGGGCGTGGACTGTTGTTTTCTTTTCCATAAGTGCATTAGTAACCAACGTGCATTTTGAATTTAGAATTTCAATGCAGTATTGTGGAGGCAGTGGACACATCTCAGCCCTGCCTGCCATCCAGGGGGCACCATGGTTACTTCCAGGATGGCAGCTCCCCCTGTTCCCTTTCTCTGACCTTAGCAGCTCTGGGCCACCCAGGCAGGCCCCATTCCTCCCTCTTCCTGCCCCTAAACACATTTTCCCTAGATTGGGCTCTCCATACTCCATGACTTCACCTACAGAGATGGAAAGTAGGGGGCAGGGTCCTGGGGGGCTGGGGCAGGAGGCTTCTTGGAGCCGCCAGGAGGCCAGGGCGGGTGATTCTGAGAGGAGGCTCAGGTGTGTGCTCCCAGGTCGGAAGAAGAGCCAGGAAGGGATGAAAGACAGGCTCCGGCTTTGGAATTCCTCAGGGGTTCACATGCTATGGAACGGTGTGGGGTGGAAGGGAGAGAGAGAGAGAGAGAGAGAGAGAGAGAGGTCATTTCATCTTCTGGTTCACTTCCCAAATGCCTGCAATAGCTGGTGCTGTGTCAGTCTGAAGCCAGGAGCCAGGAACTCAGGCTGGGTCTTCCTGTGGCTAGCAAGGACTGAAGTACTTTGGGCCCCCATCTGCTGCTTCCCAGGTATGCAATAGCAGGAAGCTGGGATCAGGCATGGAGCGGGCACTCTGATATGGGATGGGGACATTCAAAGTGGCATCTTACCTGCTAGGCCACTTGCCCCCCAACCAAGAATTATTTTCAACCCTGGGACTTTTTTTTTTTTTTTTGACAGGCAGAGTGGACAGTGAGAGAGAGAGACAGAGAGAAAGGTCTTCCTTTTGCCGTTGGTTCACCCTCCAATGGCCGCCGCTGCAGCCGGCGCACCGCGCTGATCCTGGCAGGAGCCAGGAGCCAGGTGCTTTTCCTGGTCTCCCATGGGGTGCAGGGCCCAAGCACCTGGGCCATCCTCCACTGCACTCCCTGGCCATAGCAGAGAGCTGGCCTGGAAGAGGGGTGACCGGGACAGAATCCGGCGCCCCAACCGGGACTAGAACCCGGTGTGCCGGCGCCGCAAGGTGGAGGATTAGCCTATTGAGCCACGGCGCCGGCCAACCCTGGGACTTTTTTGTCTTTAAAGATTTACTTATTTATTTGAATGACAGAGTTTCAGAGAGGCAGAGGCAGAGAGAGAGAGAGAGAGAGAGAGAGAGTCTTCCATCTGCTGGTTCACTCTTCAAATGGCCACAATGGCTGGAGCTGAGCAAATCCAAAGCCGGGAGCTTCTTTCAGGTCTCCCACATGAGTGCAGGGGCCCAGACACTTGGGCCATCTTCCACTGCTTTCCTAGGCCATAGAAGAGAGCTGGATTGGAAGTGCAGCAGCTGGGACTCAAACTAGTGCCCATATGGGATGCTGGTGCTGCAGGAGGTGGCTTTCCAGTGCTGGCCCTGGGGCTGGTATTTTAGCACAGCAGGTTAAGCGGCTGCCCATGACAGCAGCATCCCATACCAGAGCACTGATTGGAGTTCTGGCTGCTCTGCTTCCAATCCAGCTCCCTACTAATGTGCCTGGGAGGGCAGTGGAGGATGGTCCAGGTCCTTGGCTCCTGCCACCCACGTGGAGACCTACATTGAATTCCTGGCTCCTGGCTTCAGTCTGGCCCAACCCTGGCTGTTGTGGCCATTTTAGGGGTGAAGCAGGGGACAGTAAATCCTCTTTCTCTGTTTCTACCTCTTTCTCTCTCACTTTGTCTTTCAAATAAATAAATAAATCTTTAATAAAAAGCCTTATTTTCATCCCTGATGTATACTTTTTCATCTCTCCCAGATGTTTGGAGAAAACATAAACACGAGTGGTTTCTAACCACTGCTACTGTTTCTTCCTTTTGTACTTTATGTGTATATGAATATTATATATTAATAGTATATTATATTAATATGTATATAATATGTATTAATATTATATATTAATATATTAATGTATTATATTAATATAATAGAGGCAGAGTTACAGAGAGGGGGAGAGACGGAGAGAAAGATCTTCTATCTGCTGGTTCACTCCCTAAATGGCCACAATGGCTGCAGCTAGGCTGATCGGAAATCAAGAGCCAGGAGCTTCTTCCAGGTCTCCTACATGGATGCAGGGGCCTAAGGACTTGGGCCATCTTCTAATGCCTTCCCAGGCCACCAGCAGGGAGCTGGACTGGAAGTGGAGCAGCCAGGACTTGAACCAGTGCCCATATGGGATGCCGGCACTGCAGGTGGACACTTAATCTACTATGCCACAGCGCCAGACCCTCCTTTTGTACTCTGACATAGCAGTGGCAGCTGCAGGCAGGATGTTTTCCAAGTGATTTCTGTTTTGTCTGCAGCAAGAGAGATGCTGGGTGCAGCCTGGAGTTGGGGATGCCCTTGTGGGGGGAGGGGGGACCAGCCCGGCAGATCCCCTTCCTCCCCATAGATCTTCCTTGCTCCTCTCCTTTGTCTGGGGGAGCCATGCAAGGTGCCCGCATTCCAGGCACGAGGCTGGGTGTTTGATCCCACTCTGGCATTTTGGTTTGCTAACCGCCATGCACAATGCAGCCTGGGTTCAGGACATCAGATCCAGTACTTGTTTTCTCTGCAGTGGGCTCCCAGGGAGCCAGAGGAGCAGTGGAAAACCTCTCCTAGAACAGCTGGAGCCACAGCGTCCGGGCCCCACTCTGCCGGAGTTGTTTCTGGCTTCTCCAAGCTTTGCTGGGATTCTCCAGTGCTTCTTCCAGCCTCTCTCCACTGTGGTCCCCCTGCAGGCCTGCCTCCCACCCTGGCTTATAAATTCCCAGGTGGCAACAATGTTGCCTTGTTTTCCTAGTGCCCTAACACCTGTCAGCCCACAGGTGGTGTGTGAGGGTGAGGCTGACGTGCCTGCACTTGGTGCTGTGATGAGGTGTTCACCTAACCTGCTGGGCTGAGCTCCGTGAGACCCTAAAACAGCTCAGCGATTGTCCCAGGATCCTCAGTGGTGCCTCTGTGGGATGCTATTAGCCAAGCAACGTCACGGTCTCGGCCCCAAGTTTTCTGTCTTCCACTTCATGCTCTCTCTCTCTGCCTCCTCTCCCGATCACAGCCCAGGACCCTAGCATCGCCTCTGTAAAGGCAGAGCAAGCCCAGGAGGCAGTGGCCTCCCTCCACCCCACCCCACCCAGCTGGTCCAGCTCTTGCCTGGGATCTTCATACCTTTCCTGAGCAGGGAGCCCAGCACACCTGTAGGTGTCTTCTCTGTGGCTTCCTGGCTGTCCTTTTACCCAGGGCAAGGGGCTCCCAGAGCAGAGTGGGAGAGGAATTCCAGCTTTGTCGGCACTGGGTGGGCTGGGGGCTGGGCTCCCCCTCAGTGCCCAGCTGTCTCCCTGAGTGCATTTGCCCTGGACCTGAGGCAGTGAGCGTGACCCCTGAGTACCCTCAGGTATTATCCTAGCTGAGCCCAACAGTCCACAGGCTTCCTCCATGGCAGGTGTTTTTTTTTTTTTAAGATTTATTTATTTGAAAAGCAGAGTTACAGAGAGAGAATGGGAGAGACCAAGAGACAGAGATCTTCTATCTGCTGGTTCACTCCCCAAATGGCCACAACGACTGGGGCTGGGCCAGGCTGAAGCCAGGAGCCTGAAACTCCATCTGGGTCTCCCATGGCGGGGTGGCAGGGACCCAAGGTTTTGGGCCATCCTCCACAGTTTTCCTAGGTGCATTAGCACGGGGCTGGATTGGAAGTGGAGCAACTGAGACTCGAACCAGCGCCCACATGGGCTGTGGTGTTGTAGGCAGCAGCTTAATCCGCTGTGCCACAGCACTGGTCCCAGGGGCAGCACCAGCCCCACCCCTCAGGGGAGCACTTGGTCCTGGTCCCAAAGTAATATAGTTTCAAGAGGGAGTTTGTTCATGACAACACGGGGCGGAGATGACAGAGCTGTTGTACACTCAACACTAAGACATCAGATGTGCCTGGAGCAGGAAGAATGTACTTTCCAACCCACGTGAGAAACTCTGCCTGCAGGGGGCAGGAGGGGCCACATCCCCTGTACTCACTCTGCCAGGGTCCTCCTCACCCCTTCACTGCCAGGATTGCTCTCAGCAGCTCAGACTGGGTGTGGCCTCACCTGTGAGACTGCCTGTGCCCCCCGTCACTCGCAGCCATGGAGTTAGAATCTAAGGAGCTCTAGGCCTGCTCCTAGGAGAGCCTGCCTAGGACGCGGCCCTGTAACTTATTCTACTTGTTCCCGTGTTTTCAAATGTCAAGAGGAGGAGTTTACACTGTTCTCCAATGCCCCAGTTCAGACGGCCAGGAGCAGATGCACCAGCACGGCTTCAGCGCCCCTGGACCTCACCTGCATTGACTCCTTCCTGTCCCAGGAGCCACTCTCCCCACCCACCCTGCTTCCATGCCTCCCCCTGCTGGGTGAGTGTATTGGCCAAGGCCTGGAGAGGGGAGGGTACTGAGGTGGCTTGGTGGGATCCTTGTCCTGTGATTGGTGTCAGGGTTGGATTCTAATGTCTCAGCTGGTGGGAAAGACCAGGCAGAGGGCTGCACACTCAGCCCTTGGACAAGTCCGTGGATACTGAGAGACACACCCAAAGCAAAGCCATAGGCCGAGAGCAGGGACAGAGCCACAGCAGCAGGGCTCTGGGGCCACGGGCCTAGGCCTGAGTGGGTTGGGGGTGGCAGGGTGCTGTTTCATTGATCAGTGGAACCTTTGCCACATGATCGGGCATGAATGAAGGAGCCCTGGGTGTAGGGGTGAGCAGGGTGGCCAAAGGCCAGAGCCCAGCACCAGGACATGTGCCTGAGCTTCACTGCTTTGTTTCGTCAGCGCCGCTGTCCTTCCGAGTTGTTTGTTGCTTGATGAATACATACATTGACTTGAATTCCTCGTGACTCCCTAAAGCATGGTTTGAAAACACTGGGCTCCGGGCTGGTATGTGTCCACAACAGAGTTTTTACTGGTCTTTGGCCAAGTAAAAGAAAAGAGACTATTTTATTTACCATTTGGCATCGTACAAAAACCTCACACACAGAGAAGTATATTCAGTGTAAATGTGCGGTTAACAAGTAATTAGGATGCGGACGTGCAGGGCATCACAGCCCAGGTGTCTTACTCCGGAACTCAGTCACATCGCCGGGCCTCCTGCAGGAGCCAGCTGCCACTGGGCTTCTGGGACCCAGCCTCCCCTCCCCTCGCGGTTTCACCATGCCGCCTGCCTTCCCAGGCAATGCAGTGTGGTTTTGCCGCGGAGTTTCTGTAGGCACACGCAGCCTCACGTTTTGCGGCGTCTTGCTTCTCCTCTTTCAGCATTGCCGCAGTGAGATTTGTCGGGCGTGGAGCTGAGTCCACTCACGGCCTTGCCAGAGAGCTGGGTATTCGAATCAACTGCAGCTCACATCTCCACTTCACTCTTGGTGGAAACGGGTCTTTCCAGTGTCGCTCTTGTAAAACACGCTGCTCGTGAGCGTGGCTGCAGGTGTCTCTGTGCTATGCACTGGGCTTTCTCCAGGGCGTGGTTTCTCGATGGGCACACTAGTGATAGGATGCTGTAGGGGCCGTCCTGACGCTGTTGGCTGCTGGCAGCACCCCTGGCTCTCATCCACTGGATGCCGGTAGTCCACTTTCCTCTCCCCAAGCCCCAATGATCCAAACCATCTCCAGACTTTGCTGATGTGAATCAGAGCAGCAACTGAACACCCAGCAATGAGACTGCTCAGTCGTAGGAGGTACGTATCTTCAGATCCCCTAGAAAATGCCAAACTTATGAGATGCTTTTCTTTCTTTTAAACATTTTTATTTATTTATTTAAGAGGCAGAGAGACACAGAGCTACAGACAAAGGGGAAGAGAGAGAGAGAGAGAGCGAGCGAGCTCCCATCGCTGATTCATTTCTCAAATGCATGCCGGGCAGGACCCAGGAACTCGATCCAGGTCTCCCACGTGGGTGGCAGGGACCCAACTATCTGAGCCGTCACTACCGCCTTCAGGACCTGCACTGGTGGCAAGCTGGAATCAGGAATGAGAAAATAATTTGTTCTGAAGTCATCCTAATTTTTGGTATTAAAATGACCTTGTTTTAGTCCCATCATGGTGATAGGCACTCATGGTTGCCTTTTAAAAGCTCTTACTTTACTCGACAAAGGAAAAGTGGTCACCTTACCTTGGTGCCCAAATGTGTTCTGGAATGTTCCTTGTTCTGGAATGTCCCCCACTGCCAAGGCTGTGGACTGCAGCTCTGAAGGTGTCTGTCGGAGGCCCCCTCTGGCTCCTCTGGCTCGCTCTTCCCAGCTCTTCCAGGACTGTGAAGTTGTTTCTGCAAAGTGGTCACCATTCCTGCAGAGCCGGCCATCCCTCTGAGACTGTCTGCCTCGCAGGTGCCCCGCTGAGCTCAGCTCGGCCCCCACGTTCCTGGACATCCCTAGGAGAGGCTCTGCCATTCTGAGGACATCTGGGCCTACCTGGTTAGGTCTCAGGGACCACCAGGACAGGATTTCAACTCGCACTTCAGAGATGCCCCCTCGAGGGAGGGACCCCACTTGGGTGCTGCAGGCAGGGGACGATCCCTTCCGGGCTCTGATCTCACTGCCTTCTTCCTTAGCTTGTGGGTGGGACTCTCTGGGGAGCTCACCCCTCCCCCAAGAGTCCTCAGCAGTGGGTTGGGGGTGCAGCAAGCACTCACCACACCCCCGAGGCACAGGCTGGATGTTACCTCCAGGCTGTGGGCCCCCATGTCTAATGAGGACAAAGCTACTCCAGGGCCATAACCTAACACAGCCCCCACCTGGGCTTCCATCCTGCAGGAAGAAGTGGAGGCTGAGAAGGAATTGGACTTCGGCCTCCTGGTTACCCCAGACGAGAATGATAGTCCCAGAGGGGCTCCCTGCCTGTCCTGTGTGATTACAGGATCAAAGTTGTGCAGAGAGGAGAGGTGGGGAGGGGCTGTGTGCGGGTAGCTTTTGTGGCAGAGCTGGCCAGTGGTTCAGAAAGAGAAACAGCTGCACCTGTCTCGGGTGATGGGAAAACACGGGAGACGTTGACCCAGAACAGGGGCCTGGACTAAGCAAGCCCTACCTTGGGCAGGTGGGTGGCTGTCTGCAAGATTCTGTCACTTTCTTGCTTTGTTGAAAGGCTGGGCCTCTCCAGGGCGTTTGTCCTCTTGCAAACTCAGTAGCACTCAGCCCCCGATGTCTGGTCAGGACAAGCTACACCACGGCCCACCCATCAGAGCCCAAATGTGGATCCTGGAGGTCCCCTGGCCTCCCCTGCCTGTTCCCCTACCTGCCCCTTGCCCCTCTGCAGTGGGTGGTGGTGCCGGCTGGCCCGAGTCATCCTGTCTGACCTCAGCTCTCACAGAAGTGGTCACCGAGCCGGCAGTGACACACACACACTGTGTGCAGTGGGCTCCGGCGCACCCCGTTCCTACAACACTGTGGGGGAACGTGCAGGATTTTCAGATGAACATGAGGACTGCAACCTGTCGGTAAGTCAGGGCCTTCCAACGTGACACAATACTAGCACAACGGAAACACAATCAAAACACAATCAACCCTTTGAAAGGCTTGCAGGTTCCCAGGGTCAGCATAACTCAACCGTGGCCATGGCCTTGACCACAGAGACAAGGCTAAGCACAGCCTCGGTGCAGGTGTCTCAAAATAATCATGTGAACTCGGCCTCCTCATTTCAACAATGAAGACCCAGAGGTTCATCTGCTGAGTAATTCATATTCAGAGTACACACTGAAGCAAGGCTCAGCATTCGGCCAGCACTAACCGGCATGGTCCTGGCAGCACAGAGCCCTGCTGGTCGGTGGAGATGGATCATGGGAGAAACTGGTGACAGCACACTCACTCTGCCCCCCGACTGTAGGAGTGCTCCCCAATGAATGCTCTTTCCTTCTCCCTCCCGAGACATCCTTTCCATGTTTATGACCCTGCCCCATATCCTCACCTTGTCCCTCCAATACAAGTTCAAAGTCATTGTCCTTGAAATGCCTGAGTATGCACATGGTTCCCGTGCTACGCCTCTTGTTCTTTCCAGTCTCACTAAGCACTCGTAAGAATACTGTGGATGACAATTCAACTGGTGTTGGAAAGTGGTTGAGAAGAGAGGGTATCAGACAGGGAACAAGTTACAAAGGAGCTGAACATGAAGTGTTGAATCAACCTGAGGTTGTTGGCATCTGGAAGCAGCTACCATGTGTGGGACTGGAGGGGTGAAGGCAGAAGGTCAGTTTCGAAAGGCCGGAGTCCAGTTGACTTCCTGATGGGAGCCGGGCCTAGGGCAGGGGCTGCCGGGAGACTCCAGCCTTTGGGAAGGAAGCAGAGGGAACTCTGCCCGTCTCTGTGCGTGCAGGCTGGGAGGTCAAAGGTTGACGCCCAGTCTACATGGTGCTTTCACAGAACCAAATCACTAATGCAACAGGAAGCAAGCTTTAGCTTCCAGGTCATCTTCTGGGACACAGGGCCGTTTGCTAGCATAGGCTGTCCTGGCTTGAGGGGGCATGGTCCACCTGGCCCTTGAGACCATGGAGCCTGGGACTATTTCCCACTGTCAAGGCCAACCTTGGGGGGAAGGGTAGGATCTGAGCACCTCTTGGTCAGGAGCAGCAGCCTCAGGGACTGGGACTTGGGCTTCTTTGGGTGCAAGGCTGATTCCTCTTCCCTGCATGAACAAACTCCAAATGAGAAAACAGGTGGTCAGCCGTCCACTGCCAAGTAGAACCACTTGATGACGCCTGATCATTTCCCAAAGGAATACTGACCGAAGTCTCTCCCTGGCACCCTAGCAGGAGGCAGGCACATCGGCTAACACGCAAGCCACCGTGGCTTATGAGCAAGCTCCTCTGACCCCAGTCCAACAAGGAAGCCAGTGTTTGAGGACTGTCCCCTGGTGCTTCCTCAGCCAGAGATGATGGACATCTCAGGGGCAGATCAGGGAGCCAGGCCTGGGGGAGGGATGGTCCTAAGGTTTCAGTCACACCAAACTCTTTGTCATGTGTCCCCTGTCCACGCCTCTCTTGCCAGCATTCTGACCTGCTGAGCCCTGGAGTGGCCACAGTCTTAAGCAAGGCAGAGACCTGGACGGACCAGGAACCCTCCTTCTGTTACTCAGAGCCAAGTCTCCGATCTAAAACATAGATGCTGATTCTCAGCTTCCTTGTTTACTCCATATCAGGATGCCTCAGTGTTAGGAAGCGATGCGTGCTGGGAGAGGTGAACATTGATTCCTCATGGAGAAAGTGGACACGCACTGTCCTTGTTGAATTGACTCTGAGCTAGTTTACCTGTCATCTGCCAGGTTTGATTTGGGGACCTGGAGGTGGACTCCAGGCATGCAGCTGGCCAGAGAGCAGGGCCAAAGGCGTGGGGGTGGTGGCCAGGGTGCTGTCCATCCCTGCCTGCTGGCTCTCCTGTCAGGCTGCGCTTGGTCTGTCCACTGGAATGCTTGGCTTCCTCTTGGCCACTCAGCTTGCCTGGGTTCTCCTGATGCCCACAGTAGCTGTCTTGTTTTCTCCTCCCTGCTTTCTTGGCCTCCTCGACCATGATAGGTCACAGGTCAGCTCTGGAAGACAGACTGTGTAGGCTCCAGGGTTTCAGGCTGCCTCCCCATTGTCCCCTTGTTGCCTGAAGCCAAAACTCTCCTGCAACTGGGCAATCATGATACCTCCACCTTACCAAAAATTCTCCCCAAATCTCGATGTATCTTCATGTTTTCCTGAACCACATTGCTGTTGTTGGAATTGCATGAAATTCCTAATTGGCCAAATTCAGGACAAGTGTTTGGCACAGTATCTTAAGTCACCACTTGGGATGCCCACATCCTACATCGGAGTGCCTGGTTCGAGTCCTGGTTCCTCCACTTCCAATCCAGTTTCCTGCTAACGTGCTTTCTGGCGGGGGAGGCGGGGGAGGAGGAGCGGCAGGTGATGGCTCAAGAACTTGAGGCCCTGTCATCCATGGGAGAGACCTGGATTGAGTTCCAGGCTCCTGACTTTGACCTGGTCCAGCCCTGGCTGCTGCAGGCATTTGAGGAGTAATCCAGCAGGTGGAAGATCTCTCTCTCTCTCTGTGTCTTCCTGCCTTTCAAGAAAAGAAAAAATGCCCAAATTGGAGCGTCCTAACCAGGGTGAGTAATTTGTGGGTACCAGTTAAGTGCAAATTCTGGGAGAGCAGAGGAAGAGTCCAGGGCCAGGCCTTCATCCCAGCCACTTCCTATGTGCAGGTGCCTCTGCTTAACCAACGGATCCAGAGAGGAGGCAGGTCTTTCGTGCAGCAACAATGAGAGAGGGGAAGGAGGCTGGAAAAAGAAATGGATTCATCAGCAAGGAGACCTTCAGCTTTGCCCATTTCCCCAAGGAGGCGAAGGATGAAAGTGTTTAGCTCCAAGAAAAACCGTCTGATTAAGCTGGGGTTTAAAATGAAGTGAGAATTTCACAGGATCTCTCACATCAAGTGCCTTTAAAGTAAGTCCTGATACCTATTTTCAGATAATGAAAGGAGGAAGAGACAGTGGCCCCAGGGAAGGGTCACATCTGGGAGGTGCTGAGTGGCCACTCTGTACCTGGCTGTGTCCTGGGGACCAAGTCAGGGACAAGTGGGAGAGGGCCCTGGGCGGACAGTGGCTCCTGTGCCGGCAGATCTGCGTTACAGGGCATGGAACCATGCAGGGGAGAAGCGAACCGCATAGCCAGGTGGACGAGGGCCTGGGGGTGGGGACAGATGTCCACCTGCAGTTGTCCTGCTCCCTGGAGGGCTGGGTGAGGGGTGGCCATGGCCTTGGGAAGCTGGTATAATCCTGCAGAGAGACCAGGAGGCAGAGGAGCTGGCCTCAGTAAGAGCACATTCTACCACTGGCTGAGTTAAGATAAACTCCGAGAGGCACCCTGCGGGTGACCAGAAACCACGAAGACAAAGCACAGTCGCAGGGCCCGAGTTGCCCACTGCACGCACAGGGGCTGCAGGGTGCACAGCTCAGCCTCCGTCTCCCTCGGCTGTCCACTCAGCCCCACCAGCCCCACCAGCTCCACAGGTCAGCAGGGACTCGCTGACAGCAATGGGGTGGGGAGGGGGCTCGAGCCGGACCCAGGCTCTCTGGAGGTTCCAACTCTTCCAGGTCCTCAATAGCCCAGAAGGAGTTTGGGTCCTGACTGGGGTGACTCTAACCACTGCTAAGTGGTTAAGTGAGCTGTGGAGACGCCTTGTGAAGACGCGCCCCACCTGAGCTGTGCTGCTCGTGGGGGTGTGCACACTGAGATGCTTGTGCTGGGGTGTGTGCCAGCGTGCAAGGGAGCAGGGAGGGAGGGAGAGGAGGGGAAGGATGCAGAACACCTGCCAGGTGGAGTGAAGTCAGGGGAGAAGGCACAGTTCCCTCTTGTAGATCGCACGCAGCTCCAGGTGACAAGGCCGAGGGACCATTGTTCTTTCAACATAGCTTTTGTAGCAGCATCGGAAAGAAAGTTGGCCTGAAGTGTGGGCAGAGCTGAGGAAGGGTGGGAGAGAGTCCTGGGCACTCTCTGATTGGTGGGGCAGGGGTCCTTTTCCCGGGCACAGGCAACTCAGATCCCCATCTTCCCAGCATCCCCAAGCGCCCCCCACCCTGTGAAGTCTCCCATTGTGACCAGCAGGGCCCACTGTGCAGAAGCAGCCCAGCATCTCTTCTGTCTGTGCCCAGGGCTCTCCCAGCCAGCTGGCAACCAGCGGGCGAGTTCAGGTTAGCGGGCAGCCCTGGCTTCCAGGTCCGCCGCATCTTGGCTGTGAGCAGAGAGATTTCCCTTGAGAACACATGGTTGGAATCCACTAGCGCAGCCCCAGGAGGGGGTGAACCATGCGCCTGGCCCCACGGGGCTTGCAGCTCAAGTTCCCCAGGAGCGCGGCTGGGGCCAGACATGGAGGACTTTGTGGGACACAGGTGTTCTGTCCCCTGGCAGCCTCCCGCCCCCAAACCCCCCTGCCCTCAAGCACCCCCTGCCTCAGCCCTCCTCAGGCCACAGACTGAGACCCATGGTGGATCTGAAGAAACCCCTGCACCTCCATCTGCTCCTGACGTCTGCACAGCTCTCATCACAGCGGGAGGGGAGCGCCCAGCTGAGGAAGACTCTGAAAACCTAAGGAACCTGGATCTCCCCTCCCCCCACCCCATCCCCACTTCCTGGACAAGATGCGTCATCAAGCAAATGGAACTCTCCACAATCTGCCCAAGTGTTAACGCGCTGCACTTGTGGCAATAAAACACTTGAACCTGGCCCAGGTCTGTTTTCCTTGAACTTCGAACTCTTCCGGATTCCTTCTCTCACTGAGTGAGACACTGGGACAGGGACCATCCCGTGTGAGGAGGCGGGGCCTGACGTTAGGACACGCCCCTTCTTCCCTCCCCTGGTGCAGCTGATGCTTTGTAAGGAGACTGAAGTGGCAGACGCTGAGTCGTGACTGCAGTGTCAGTAACAGTGTCTTTATTAGAGAGTCACAGCGTTTCCCCAGGACAGTGAGGCAGCATCCTGGCAGGTTCCTCCTCCTTTGTCCCTTCCTCTCTCTTCTGCAAGGTTTGGGGTGAAGCACCCCACCTCTAACTCTTGAGATTGAGCCAGGCCGAGGAGAGGCCATGAGTTTTCATTTTAGATGCTGGTGCTCAGCCAGGGGTTGCAGGCCTGTGGGGCGTGGTGGACAGAAACAGCTAAGTGGATTAAGCTGCTCTCCTGGAGAGGCAGGAGAAAGCTGAGCCGTCCCTCTGTGTCCCCTAGACACTGGGGGGAGGGGGGCAGATGGACGCTCATGTGATGGGCCTGCCCTTCAGACTGTCTCAGAAATGTCACCCCTAGCCTGCCGTGGCCACCATGCTCCCAGCTTCTCCTTTCCTGGGAACTTTCTCACAGGGAGCACAACTGGCATTTTTTAAAAAAGATTTATTTATTCATTTGAAAGGCAGATATGGGGGAGGGGTTCCATCTACTGGTTCACTCCCCAGTTGGCCACAATGGCCAGAGCTGCTTCGATCTGAATCCAGGAGCCAAGAGCTGCTTCTGGGTCTCCTACATGGGTGCAGGGGCCCAAGGACCTGGGTCATCTTCCACTGCTTTCCCAGGCCATAGCAGAGAGCTGGATTAGAAGTGGAGCAGCAGGGACTCAAATCGGCTCCCATATGGGATGCCGGCACTGCAGGTAGTGGCTTTACCCACTATGCCACAGTGCCGGCCCCATTATTAGTTCATTTAACAATAACAACATGTGGCTGGCATTGTGGCACAGCGGGTTAAGCCACCACCTGCAATGCTGGCATCCTTGTATAGGCACTGGTTCCAGTCCTGCCTGCCCCACTTTTGCTCCAGCTTCTTGCTAGTGCACCTGGGAAAGCAGCAGAAGACGGCCCAAGTACTTGGCCTGTGCATCCACATAGGAGACCCGGATGGAGTCCAGGCTCTTGGTTTCAGCCTGGCCCAGACCCAGCCTTTGTGGCCATTTGGGGAGTAAACCAGCGAATGGAAGGCCTCTCTTTCTCTCTGTGTCTCTTCCTTTATCTCTGTAACTCTGCCTTTCAAGTAAATAAAATAAATATTTTAAAAAAGAAGTGTAGCACATGCAATTATCTACAGGGGATAATGCTTGATACCGACAGTAAATGGCTATGTAACTTTACATCGTTAACCTCGCTATACTTTTTATCTCAGAGTGACTGTAAATATACACACGCCATGTGTGTGCTTATACAAACACACACGTACCGAGAGGGACGGAGAGAGGCTACAAGGGACCGCTCACATTTATTGGGGAGGTGAAGTCCAAAGATCTGCAGTCAGCAAACTGGAGACCCAGGAGAGCTGAGGGTGAGAGTTCCGCTCTGAAGGAAGGAGAGGGCCAATGTCCAGGCTGCAGACAATCAGGCAGAGCGGGACAACTCTCCTTTCTCGTGCCTCTCGGTCCACCCAGACCCCCAGCTGATTGGATGACTCCCACCCACGTTGGGAGGGGTGTGGCTTACTTTAGTGGGAGGGGCGTGCCTTTCTTCAGGCCACAGATTCCAATGCTGGTCTCTTGTGGAAACGTCCTCGGGTCCCAGGCGGGTGCACACCCCAGAATGAACTACTGCGGCTGGTGACGGTTGTCTGGGTTGCTCCCTTCCTAGAACAGGGCAGAGTGCACACGGCATCCAACCCAGATTTATTGTTTCCATAGAGAGCTAAGGGGAGATACAGCCCTGGGAAGGCAGGAGGCCCCAGCTCCCGGCCTCACTTGGAAGTTGACTGGCTGTGCCCTTGCTGTAGGGGAAGCTTTGGGCCGGTCACCCTCACAGCTCTTGTAACACAGTCGTTGACCCCTGAACAGCTCTGCAGAGCATGGCTGGGGTGAACATGGGTGCTGGTCCCTTCTGCAGCTGCTGGCCAGGGCATTGGATCAGAGAGAACTCAGGTTCCAGGCGGGGAGGCCTCACAGGGGTCTCCAGCAGGCCCTACCACAGGGCCCACAGTCCTCTGACAGGGTCTGGCCTCCTGAGTCCCAGTTTGAAGGCCCTGTCAATGTTTGCATGGTGTCCTGCAGAAATCTGCTTCCAAGCAGGCACAGTTGAAGTCAGTGCAAACACTGTTCTTTATCCAAATGGAAAACGATGTTTTCTCTTCCCGACTTGCCACCCGCAAAACTTGGGTGATTCACCTACCTTATCCTTCTAGATATTCAAGGATGGAGGCATCAGATGCCAGTGGTGAAGGGACCTCTGCAGCCACCCAGGACGCCGAGGCACAAGGGGGAGAAACGGAACTACGGCCCCATCCTACACCAGGGCGTCTAGGAACCGTTCCCCCCAGCCAAACCCCATTCTCCTCCCTAGGCTGATAGAACAAAAGCAGGAAGTGAGAAATAAACTCGAAGCAGATATCAGTGCCCTGACATAGACATCAAACTTTATCGACTGAAGAGGTAAATATTGACAGAACTTAAATACCAAATCAATAGTTACCCCGAGGGACAGCACGGCCTGAGTTGGAAGTTGAGATCTGCGTGTTCTAGCGCATCGCCGGTCCCCCAATGTCTTTATTAGGTGTGTCTGGCCCTTTCCACAGTGAACTAAAACTGGAAGATGTGCTCATAGATTTCTACAGGGCGCCAACACTGTGGGCTGGAAAGAGGTTCTTGATCACCAAGGGAGCTCATTCTCGTTAACCGAGGACCCGCCCCCGAAAGCTGGGTAAGGATCCCAGAATAAGCCAGCAATCCATTTGCTCACAGTGTTGGCTGAGAGGTCACCCGAACGGAAACTTCCAGCCGAAAGGCCACCAGGTCCCCGTTTGCTGGGCTTCGCCTTGTCCATAGCAACACGGCGCGTGCGCTGCACCTTGCAGCAGGCAGGGCACCACCCCAGCCCCGCATGTGGGGGAGGCCAGAGACCACGGCCCCAGCACTGCACACTTCGTCACCAGCCTTTGCAGGCACCGAGGCAGGGTTGATTGTTTGCTTAGAAGGACTTGTAGTGGGTGAGAAGCCTTAAGAAAAGACGACCATAGAAAAGAACCCAGAAGGGAAGCCTGGGCGATTCTTGCCACCAATTTCCCCCTCTGTGATTGGGAAAGACATGGACACCCTTCAAGGTTGAAGGGGCGGACCCTGTGCACAGCCTCCAGCGGCCCTGGGGACGTGTCTGTGCACGCTGCCTCATTCCAACTTCCCACTGGTGGGGGAGACCCTGAGGCTGTTGAAGCTGCCCTGCTGAAGGTCATGGTCGCTCTGCTTTCCTGCTTCTCAGTTAGTAGGTTTGTCACCAGAGTGGTGATTCCCAGCCTGGTGATTTTCACACCTGGAGGTGTGAAACAGATGCTGGGGTGCCCCCACACCAGTCAATTCTACCTGAACATCAGCCAGGGAATTCCAGGCCTCGGCTTCTTTTGAAAGCTCCTGGTTTCTCTGTGTTAATTAGCTTTCCATGCAAAGTGTTCTGGTGAGGATCCTGACACTCACAGGGTCTGGGTCTAAGGGCCTGTGAGGCCTGAGTTGTCTGCACACCTGGGACTTGGTTACCCTCAGGTGCTTGGGAAGCGGGCTGTCCCCAAGGAGGGGTTACCTGTGCCGCAGGTGATGCCAAGCTCGGAACACGCAGTTAAAGCGGCCAGCAGGGCAGCTGCGTGAAGGCTGGGGCGCTGCTCAGGATCCCTCAGCACTGAGGCCCGGGCCTCCTCCTGTGGGAGTGTGGCTGCTGCCTGCTCACCACGGGGCCCCTCTCTGGGATCGCCATGAGACGGAGGGAGCTGCCCTCCGTGTCCAGCCACTGATGGATGGGAGGTAGAGGCTTGGTTCCCTGTCCTCCGAGGGGCCGTCCCCGCTTCTGAGCTCCCTGTACAACCAGAGGCCTGGCGGAGGCTGCTCAGCTGCTCCTTCCACCTGTCCCAGTTCCCTGCCGCCCCACGGGTGGGGTTCCCCAGAGTGCTTCCCGGGAAACTCCCTTACATTTCAGCCCCACTGGCCGGTCCCTGGGAGCCTGACCCAGGACAGTGACCTTGGGAGGAGAAGGAGCTGCAGAGGGTATCTGTGGTGACGTGGAGGGACAGGGGGGACACTGGGCACACCTCTGCCAGCATGCGTTCAGAGAACAGGGACCATGCTTGTCCGGCTCACTGATGCACCCAACATCCGTCTGAGTATCCTGCCTGTGTAAGGGCTCTCAGTCAGTGTTTCGGGGTTGGTGGCCTTTAGTGTTGTTGCTACTGTTGTTTTGGCTGAGTAAGTGAAGGATTCGTGAATTGGCTCAGATTCTGATTAGACATAAAGAGCAAGTGTTGAATGGACATTTGGCACAGTGGTCAATCCAGCTTCCTGTAATGCAAACCCTGAGGGGCAGCGGGTGGTGGCTCAAGTACTTGGGTCCTGCCTCTCATGTGGGAGACCCGGATGGTGGTTTCAGCCTGACCCAGTTCTAGCCATTGTGGGCATTTGGGGAGCAAACCAGCAGGTGGAAGATTTCTGTCTGTCTGTCTCTATGTCTCTGTTTTTCAAATAAAATGAAAATAATTTGTTTAAAAGGATGAATGTCGATGGGGAGGAAGGTTGTCACTTTTTCTGAGAGGAATTGTCGGTGGTGTGAAGCGAAGCTACACTGACAAGTCCTGGGACCCAGACAATGTTCTCACTCACAGGATGAGATGCATGGGAGGTGACCAAAAGACACAGAAAGCATGGGTCAAGAGGTGGGGAAATGTCACAGGCTAATTTTCTGGGAGATTGTACCCATTGATCAGAGTTCTTCCCAGGGCTCAGCAAATTGGACCTTGTGTTCTCAGGCTCCTGTATCCCCAGTTCTGAAGAAGGGAGATGTGGGTCCACCCCTCTGGGATCAGGAGTTGTGTGTGTGTGTGTGTGCGTGCGTGTGTGTGTGTTTTGTGCATGTGCAGACATTCTAGCACAAGGAAGAAGGCACACATCAAGGACACAGCAGCCCGAGGGCATGCACCTCAGACATCCATCCACTCAGCACTCGTAGACTAGGTCAGGACTGGTGTGTATCAGGTGGGGTCTTAGGTGCTGGTTTATAAAAGTGAATGCAGCTGGTCGCAGCCCAGGCAGGTGCAGGAGAGTACTGATGGTGGTCCAAGTAGTGCTACAAGGATGGTGCCAATTGAGGGGGGTGGATGACTGCTCAGTGTCTCCCAGCTGGGCCCAAGTTGCCCGGATCCTACTGGGCTCCAAGAACTCCTGGGAAGTGTGGTGGGATCCTCAGAGGGTCCTACTGTGCAGTGCAGAGACAAACAGGACGTGTGACTTCCTCTGTTCCGCTGGTGAGGTGGCTAAGGGCACTGGCTCTCAAATCCTGTAAGTGTGGGTTCAGGTTCTGCTCCCTCACGAACCAGTAGTTGGAGCTTGGGCAAGCCCGGACTTTTCTCATCCCGTTTTCTCACATGTACAATGGGCGGTCCTGAAGCTGAGCTGCAATGCACAGCCCCTGTCCTAAAGCAGCTCTTTATATCACCGGAGTCAGCGTTGATGCTTACCATTGATGATGAATAAAACACCGTCCTCGGCTTCCATTTCCCTGTCTGCAGAGTGTTGAGTTGATACCGGATGATCTCAAGATCTCTTCTGTTCTCCTGCACCATAAGGATGGCTGATTGGACCAGTTTCCAGTTGCCATGGTGATGAGGTTGCTATGAGGACACTGTAATTCAAGCCGGCTTGGACCACAATTCTGGCAGTAGGCCTGGCTGGGCCTGGAGTGGTGCTGTACCCTCTGTCACATGCATGCCTGCCTGTGGTGTGTCTGGCACCCTGGCAACCACAGTGGGGGACCCCTTTGAGGGAGAAACACGAGAAGGTGGTTTGGGAAGTTCCACTCCTCTCCCAACATCTACCTGAGCCTGTCTGCTCATCTGAGAGGGAGCTCTGCAGCTTCCTGCCTTCAGAAGTCATTAGAGAGTAGCAAGGGCATGACGACCACGAGGCTGGGTCAGAAAGTGTGTCCCGGGAGCGTGGCTTTTATTGTCACTCCAAATCTCCTGATGCCTGACCATTGCCTCAAACTCCTGCCTTCTCCCTGAGAGACAACCCAGCTGGGCCAGGCATTTAACTTTCACTTCATTCCCCACCCCCCACTCCTTCTCTTCTTTTTTAAAAAGATTTATTTAAAAGACAGTTACAGAGAGAAAGGAAGAGGCAGAGAGAGACAGACAGACAGACACATGCACACAAGTACACACACACACACACACACACACACGCAGATCCTCTATCCACTGGTTCACTCCCAAAATGGCAGCCAACAGAAAGGGCTGGGTCAGACTGAAGCCAGGAGCCAGGAGTTTCCTCCAGGTCTCCCACATAGGTGCAGAGGCCCAAGGACTTTAGCCATCTTCCACTGCTTTCCCAGGTGCATTAGCAGGGAGCAAGATGGGAAGTAGAGCATCTCAGACTCCAACTGGCACTTATATGGGATGCCAGCCCTGCAGGTGGCAGCTGAACCTGCTACATCACAGCCTCGGCCCCACTCCATTCTTTTTTTTTTTTTGACAGGCAGAGTGGACAGTGAGAGAGAGAAACAGAGAGAAAGGTCTTCCTTTTGCCGTTGGTTCACCCTCCAATGGCCGCCGCGGCCGGAGCACTGCGGCCGGCGCATTGCGCTGATCTGAAGGCAGGAGCCAGGTGCTTTTCCTGGTCTCCCATGGGGTGCAGGGCCCAAGCACTTGGGCCATCCTCCACTGCACTCCCTGGCCACAGCAGAGAGCTAGCCTGGAAGAGGGGCAACCGGGACAGAATCTGGCTTCCCGACGGGGACTAGAACCCGGTGTGCCGGCGCCGCTAGGTGGAGAATTAGCCTAGTGAGCTGCGGCGCTGGCCCCCCCATTCCATTCTTAAAGAAACAAAAAGTTCAGGAGGAAGCACCTGGCTCCTGGCCTCGGATCGGCGCAGCGCCGGCCGTAACAGCCATTTGGGGGGTGAACCAATGGAAGGAAGACCTTTCTCTTTGGCTCTCTCTCACTGTCTAACTCTGCCTGTCAAAAAAAAAAAAAAAAAGAAACAAAAAAACACAAAAAGTTACATAATAAACAAGGGCCACTGTAAAAGCTTCCACCTGTACAGACAAGTGCAGGGCAAATAAAAGTCCTTCTCCTCTAGCTGCCATCCGCTCTTCTCTCCTGAAAGTGCCACCATGAGCTGTGTGGCTTTTTCTCCTACCTGTCGTTTTGCAGAGACACCATGGATCATTAAACTGAAGCAAAATGCAGTGCCACCTTTTTGATTTTGCATTGATGGGCTCCTCTAACACAGACTGGTTGGTAGCTCGGCTTTTTCATGCAAGAGAAGGACTTGGAGATCTTTGCAAATC